CGCGGGGCGACTCGGAGCGCAGCTGCCCGCCCACCCGCCCACTTGTGTGGCAGCCGCGGCCGCGGCCATTTTAGCCCGCACGGCCGGGATCCGCCTCCGTGAGGGGGCCGTGGTGCGAGCGCGGCGCAGCGGGAAGCGCTTCGGGATCGCCGCTCCCAAGTCGCAGCAAAGTCCTGGGGAGGCGCAGCGGGAGGGAGGGAGGGAGGGAGGGGGAGGGGGAGGGACGGCGCTGCCAGGGCCGGGTGCGGCTCCGGTCTGTGCTGGGAGGCCCGTGGGGGATCCGGTGTGAAGACGTGGCTGTGGCGGGGGCAGCGCCGTGTGGGAGCGGTTGTGGAGCCGAGGCAAGGCCCGAGGCGGGGGGACACGGTGGGAGGCGGGCCCGGACTGGCGGGGCCAAGAAACCGTGCTGGGAGGCAGCGCCCGAGATGGAATCCAATTCTTCCTCCTGGAGCAGTTGTACAGGCAAGGCTGGATGAATGGCTGTGCATCTCTGTGCTCGGTACGCTCTGGTTTTGGTAGTGTTGTTCTGCTGCAAGTCTTCTTGTTAGGCTGTTGTTGCTCTCTTGTTGCTGCTCTCTTCTTCTACCGCAGTTGTCATCTTGGGGTTTTTACTACCGTTTTAGTATCGCTTTGCTGCGAAGGTGCAATCTTCCCTCGCTCACCTTCCCACTTTTTATGTCCCCCACGTCAAATAAACAGTCTGTGTTCACGTCTGCCTTCCCCGTGTTTAGTTCCTGGGCCACAGAGCAGGGTGCAGCCTTGTTCCCCTGCGGTGCTGTGGAACAGCAGGACAGGGTGGGTCCGACCAGGGCCCTGTGAGGAGCAGCGGCTCCCGCCCGGGATCCCTGACTGCTGCCCTGAGCTGCCCGAGCCCGGGCCCTGGGGAGGGGAGCGGAGCAGCTCCTCTGCCTAGAGCCACGCTCAGGCTGCTGCGGTGACTCAAGGCCGTTGCCCTGAGCTCTGCTGTTTGGCAAAGACGGCAAAGAAACACAGCAGGGATGCTTGTGGGAGTCCTTGGCGTGTTGTGTCTCGTCCTGCTCCCAGGGCAGGGGGCCGACCCTAACTGGCTCTCTCCTGCTTGCACAGGGAACGGGAGGTGTGACGATGGAGCTGTGCGGCAGTGACAGCGACCAGGGCTGTACAGATGGAGGAAGGTGAGTGCAGGTGGGGCCCAGCTCTGTGCCAGGGTTGGGTGGGCCACTGGTGCGGGCCAGCTGCGGGACACGAGGTAGCTCAGGTCTGCAGGTGGGATGAGCTTGAGGTGTCCCCTGGAAACTAGGAACGTGCTGGTGCTGAGGCAGTGGCGTTTTCTCCCGTGTGCCCATTGTGGCTAGGGTCCTGTGGCACAGTGCGAGATGTGGCCACGTCTGGCGGTTTGTGTGGTCTGTGGTTCGGGTGGGCAGCGGGCAAGGAGCGTCTGTGGAGGTGGGACGGGGCCGCTGGCCCGTGGAGCCCCAGCAGGCTCTTGTGACAGCTTCCCCGTGGATCTCTTGTGGCCAGCTGCTGCCCCAGGGCATCGCAGCCTTGTCCGCGGCTGAAGGCCGTGTCCCTGCCTCTGCCCTCCAAGATGGGGATCCAGAGAGGAGTGAGAAGGGACAACCCCCTTGGTATAGGCCAAACACCCCTGCTGGGAGCTGCTCTTGACTTGTCTCCCCCTGTAGCTGTCGAGAGGGCTGAGGAGAAGCGGCAGCAGACCCCGAGCCCACCACCATCGCAGGGAAACGGAAGGCCATGCAGGAGGAGCATCTGCCTGCTGGTGCCCTGGGGTAATGAACCACTGGTGCTGGTACGTCGCTGTCTCGCAGCCTCTTTTGCCGTCGTCTGGGGACGGAATATGCCCGGTGCAATCCCTGCAGGGCTGGGGGCAGGCTGACCTGCCTGCCTTGGGGCAGGAGGTCTCATCCTCAGCTGAGTGGGAAGTGACGCTCTCCCCTGGCCCAGTGTGTGGTGGGCTGTGTGTGACTGTGCTGCCCGCTGCCAGAGCAGGTACTGGCTGGGCGAGGGTGCTGTGCCCTCAGTGCCAAGCTGGGGACCAAAACGAATGGTGACCAGAGCTCTGCGGTGGCTGTGGCAGAACCACGGCATCCCGGCTCTGGCGCCAGCCTGCTTCGACACCTCCTTTAGAGCGGCTCTGCCGGCTTCCCTGAGAAGGAACTAAGCTACTGCTCTCTTGGCAGCCCCCGGGCCTGATCCCGACTACCCCATCATGGCAGAGATCATAGAGGAGGAGAGGAAGGCAGCGCAGCAGCGGTTGCATTGACTCCCAGGGCATAAGGCAGTTAAGGGCAGAGTGGGAATGTGAAGGGCACGGCAGGGAGGAGACGGCCATGGCACGGGCTGGCAGGGCAGTGGGGTGTCCGTGCAGCGCAGGCTGAGGAACCTCCTGGGCCAGTGCTGCCTGGTCCTCGGGTCTGAAACTCCTAGGACCCTAGGATCCAGGACCCAGGGAACGCACAAGGGGCTAAAGGCACGGATCCATCTTTCCCATGATAAGTAACGGCCAGTGCTGCTGGCCCCCCCACCTGCGGGGCTCTGGTCCAGAGCAGCCCCGAGGCAGGACCAGAGTGATGGGGTCAGGCCCCTTCTCTGCTGCCAGCAAGAAACCGTGCTGGGTGGCAGCGCCCAGGGTGGCATGGGGTGAACCAAACTCTTCCTACTGGAAGAGTTCCACCCCCAAGGCTGGATGGACGTCTCTGCATCTCTGCAGCCTCTCCTTCCTGGCTTTATTTTGCTGTTTTTCCTAAGGTTCAGACCTTTGTTCCAGCCCTGGCACTCCCTCCGCTCCCTTCTCTTCCCCTCTCTGCTGGTGCCCCTCCCCATGTTTGGGTGCTCTGGAGCCAGCTGGGGAGTCCAGAGGGGATGGGGATCCTCCCCAAATCCAAATTGTTTTCCATCTGTGGCCCATCCCCACCCGTTTGGGGTTTACCAACTCCCAGGAGCTGCGGTGCTGTATCCCCTGGGGCCGTTCAGTGGGAAAGGGGCAGAGGCTGCCAGAGCCAGAGGTCATATGGGAGCTGCCCCCCCCCGCCCGCAGGGTCCCCACCACCCGCAGGAGGGCTTTGCTGCCAGCTCCTTTACTCTCTGAGCTGTGTGTGTGTGTCTGTGGAGTCTAAATTACAGAAACCCCACAAACATTTAAATGTTCTTTAATGGAATACCACTTTGGTTTTCTATCTGAGCTCTTACAGCAGCTCCCTGCTCCTGAATTGTGATGCATGTGGATGTGACTAAACCTGTCCTGTTTGGTTTTTGTTTTTCCCCAGGGAGGAGGTCCACGCCAACGCCAAGTGGCTTTTTGGGCCATCAGCGGCAAAACGTCACTGGCTGTGATGCTCGAAGGTGACACCAGCAGTGGCCAAAGGAGCCGGGCCAGCAGCAGGGCCACTCGCTGACCCTGCTGGATCAGAAGGCTCCACTTACCACCCAGAAACCTTCCCCTAGCTCTTATTAAACACTTGAACATCCCAGGAAGCGTCTGGCGTTGTTGCCCAAGTTACCAGGTGAGGACGAAGCAGTGGCAAATACGGTGCAGAGCCCATGGCGACGTTCCCCCCCAGCCACGCCCTGTGACATTCCCCCCCGCAGCCACGCCCTGTGACGTCCCCCGCAGCCACGCCCTGTGACGTTGCTGCTGGCAGTGCTTCTATTCCACCCAGTGACTTCCACAGGGCACTTGCTGTGGGAGACGACTCTGAGGAGGTCTCAGAGGAGCCCGTGCAGCAGCATCACTCAGCGCCCGAGAGGAAGGTCTTTCTGGACTGCCAGTGCCAGCAGCACCCGGGGTGCACCAGCCCTGTGCTATGGAGCCACAGTATGTGGGGGGCTTCCCGGCCTCTGCCTGGGCGTCCATTTTCCAGAAGCACCCTCAGCTGCTGCTCTTGCTGAACGCCTGGGTGTCTCGGGAGATGAAGCAGTTCTTTGGCGTGCAGAGCTTTAAGGCGTTCATGCTGACACGCATGATCCTGGAGGCGCTGCCCGTCTACGGCCTGGACGAAGGCATCCTGGTTGCTGTGCTGCGCCCCGAGCTGCAGAGCCACGCGTCCAGGTTTGTGCGAAGGCTCCTTGAGGCCACAGAGAAGGAGTGCGTGGACAAAGCGATGAAACTCATGATCCGCCAGGAGAAGGGGCACGGGGCCAGCGACTGCTGGTCTGAGTTCAGCTGGTGGCAGGAGGGCAGCCCTGTGGCCAGCACCAGCTGGACAGCCTGCCAGGAGCAATGCAAGGGCAAGCTCGTGGTGAGAAGCAGCTCCTCTGGCAGCCAGCACAGAGGCGAGTGGATCAGCACGACCAGAGTGACCCGCTCTGACCGCCCCGGGGGCTGGGAGCAGAACCCCGAGCCCAGCCCCAGCCCCACTGCCTGCACGCTGGGGACCCCTGTGCCTGGAGCAGCCCCCTCCAGCAGCGCGGACGCAGACGCGCTCCCGAGCACCTCGACCGCTGCCGTGCAGCGGGGTCCTGCCTGCGTCCCCGCTCCCACCCCAGCGCAGCAGGAAGATGCGCAGCAGGAGCCAGGGCAGGCTGTGCCCGGGGCCTCTGCTCCCCTCCAGGGCGCGGCCCGCTCCAAGCGCAGGCCCCATCGCGCTCGCAAGAGGAAGACCAGCAGCTCTCAAGACTCCGCTGCACCCGCCAAGAAGCTGCCCCGCCAGTGATGCTCGGAGCCGACACCAGCAGTGGCCGAAGGAGCCGGGCCAGCAGCAGGGCCACTCGCTGACCCTGCGCGACCAGGGGGCTCCATTTTTCACCCGCAAACCTTCCTCGAGCTCTTATTAAACACTTGAACATCACAGAAAGCGTCTGGCATTGCTGTGGGGTGCAGGGACCACTGAGAGCAGGGCTGCAGCCGAGCTGCCACAGCAAAGCCTTGGGAGAGGGCTGCCCTTCAGTAGGACTGAAACTCCTCTGTCCTGCAGTGGCCTTGCCCTGCCCCACCAGAGCTCACCCCCTGCTGGGTGCGTACTTCACAGCCACCATGGAAAGACCCCCGGTGTCAGACACAGCGCTTTGCATAGAGCTCTTTGCTGATCAGACGGAAGCACGGCCGGTAACAGCCTGGCTGGCCGGCGCTGCTGCTGCCTGTGCTCCTGGAGGAGGCTTTTGCTGGACATCGATCTTGGGAGCCTCTGTGCCTCAGAGGCTTTCCTGGATCCCGCCGTTGGGCACCGGATCTGCTCCCCAGAGCTGAGGAACTGAATAGAAAGCTCTGTAGCCCTGCGTGCAGAGAGAGGTGCAGAGCAACACTACAGGCCTGCTCGGGACACACGTGGTGAGATCCGCTTCTGGCTGGAGAGATCAGATCCATGGTGCCTGGGATGCGACCCCAGCCTGCAGCGCTCCACACCATGAGAGCTGTCAGGAGAAGCCCCCCTTGGCCCAGGTGTTGGAGGAAGTCAAAGCAAGAAAGGGCAGTGCTGGGCAAGGGCTATGCTTGGAGATCCTTACACGAGGGACTCCTCCTCACCACCCCAGAAACGGGCTGTTCCGCTACTTTCCTGAGGAGGCGGGTCGCTGCTCCTCGCAAAGCCCACTGGGTCCCTGGGGAAAGTCTCCTACCACAATGAGGAGAAAGTCCCACATCTTGACCGAGACCTTCCTGCCTCTCCCCTCTCCCAGTCATGCTCACCCTATGGTCCCACTCAACCCCACAGTGCTGACTGTGCCTGGGGCTGCAGAGAGGCACCAGGCAGTGGGGACTGAGCCGGGACATGAGAAAGGAAAGGATGCTATCCTTGTCCAGGCCCATGGCTCTGGGATTTGCTTCCCCCACCCCCGGCTGGGCCATCAGCCCCCAGCTGGCCCAGGTCTGTCCTGAAGCTGGTCCACACTCACCTTTGCACATATGAGTACTGCGAAGGGCAAAGCCTCAGCTTGTGCTCTGGGCTCTCCTCATCCTCTCCTGGTGTCTCGCCACCACGTGGGAATGCCACGAATGCAGGACCCTGCACGCAGAGGTAAGAACAGGAGATGTCGCTGGGCAATGGGAAGGTGCCTCGAGCTGGTACAGTCCCGCAGAGGACAGTCAGCACCCACGCTCCTCTGCCTTAGGGACCTTCCCACCTTGGCTCCCTGGAGGACAGGAATGCTCTTTTCCTGTTTTCCAGCATCTTCTGCTTGTGGGTACTGGCTTCCCCTGTTCAAACACAGCTGTGTGGTCGAACAACAGTTATTATTATTATTGCTCTTTATTATTTCACTGGTTTTCCTCCACTTTGCTTCTGCTTTGAGCAGTGGCAATTTCAGTGCAGGACTGCAAAAACGTGCTGGGAAGGACAGCAGAGAGACAGAAACTCTGCGCTGGGTCATCCCTACAGTAATACTAAAAGCATGGTACCTCTGGGGCTGTTTGGATTCTGCTCTGTCTATGGCCAAGTAGCTGCTTCTTACGTACAACCACCAAACACTTTGGTCACGGAGGTGAATTCCATGATCACAATTGTACTGTATTAAAACTGCTTTACAGAAGTGCCTTGCTGGAAACCGCTTAACTGGCATGGTTCTTCCTGCTTCTCCATTCCCCATCTATGGATGTGAGAAATGAAACAGAGCTTGTAGATCCTGCTGCCAGGGCCGGGTTAGTTCAGTGACACCAACCTGTGAGTGGGTGCGATGCACTGCTTGGTGTTTCCACCAGCTGTGCCACACTTACTAGGTGTCAAGAAGCTTACTTTGAGAGCAAAAGCTCGAGGAGGAGCAATGACCCATCCGATAACCAAGCTGAGTTGATGGAGTTTGAGAGCTGATTCATGTTTTGGCTTCCAAGTGCAGGACCTGAGTTTGAGAGCTGGAGCCCTTCCGGTGGCTGTCACATGGACACACTGGGCTTTGTATGGAGTCGGTGTTTGCCGTGAGGAGTCTCCAGGCCCGCCCAGCCCAGGACCAGGCAGCAGGGAACCCCTGGGGGTGCTCTGGGGACACCTCTGAGATCAGATGACAGCCAACAGCCAGGGCCAGGTTGGCTGCCCCACCACCGAGTGCCACCATGGGGGTGAAAACTGGGTGCAATGGAGCAGCCAAACTTTTAAACCTCACTGCTAAACCTAACCCAAACCTGTAATCCTAAACCTAACTCTACACCTAACCCTAAAACTCAACCTAACCGAAAACCTAATCCCTAAGTCTAACCTTTACCCAACCCCCTAAACCTATCCCTAGCTCCTAAACTTAATCCTAACCAGAACACTAAACATAACCCTAACCCCCAAGTCTAAACCTAACACTAACCCAATCCCTGCCCTTAACCCGAACACTAAACGTGACCCCTAAGCCTAATGCTAAAGCTCCCCCTAACCATAGCCCTACCCTCTAACCCAAACCCTAAGCCTAAACCTAACACTAAACCCCCTAACCTTAACTCTAACACTAACCCTAAACTTAACTCCTAACCCTAATGCTGACCCTAACCCAAAATTGCTCATGTACTGGGACGAGCAGTTTGTAATCCACCTCTATCAGCTGCTGCAGCTGTCTGAGGAGTGGCCACTCAGTCAAGTCCCAGAGAAACTCTTCCTTTAGGCACTGGGACCTGCCTGAAAGGTCAGCAGCCGATACACTAGCCCTGGAGAACATCGTGGCCTCACCATCCTTGGTCTCCAGCCTCAGCTTTTCACGGTCCTTTATCCTTACCCGTTTTCAACGCGCACCTCTTCTGCTTGGGACATGACTGCTCCTCAAACCCCACCAACCACTGCTCCTCCGTTGCAGGACTCCTGCTGCTGCTCCCCGCCTGCAGCACATTTGGAATCACAGCTCACATCGGCCGCAAGGGGACACTGAGAAAGAGACAGGTAGAAAATTTCACACAAAGATCATCTCAATGAGAACCACTCTAGAAAGGATAAAACCTGCTCCTCAGAGCAGTGGACAAAGAGGAGGTTTCTTGCTGCTTACTGCAGAGAGAAATAGCACAAAAATTGTTATCTTTTATTCCTGAACTTCCTCTGAAAATGCTGCAGCAACTCATCACCGATGTGCCACGTGATGCTGTCAAATCACACTGGGAACCATTCAGTATTAAATTCACTCCTTTACTAAAGGCTCAAGAACTTTGGGCAGAACTTCAGTTAAAAGCCTGAAATCCATTCTCAGTTTAACTGCTTCACTAAGGCAAGAGATTTGAACCCTATCTCTTTGCCTAGGTCCTTCCATTTCTATTCCCAAAAAAGAATCAACCTGCTTTTGGGTGGCAGGAAGATGTCCAAGGAGGACATCCTTATTCTTTTCTCACCTAAGAGTGTGTCCTCTCCTCTTCTTTTCTCCCACTTGTCTGTCTCTATTATCAGCATTCTGCAGCACAGCCTGTCTTTAACCACCCATCCCTGCAGCACTGAGCGTGAAGCCCCAGGAGACACACAGGCAAGCAGGGTGCAGGACCAGCACTTCCCAACCACCACAAAGGCAAGCCCAGCAAAGTACAACTTGTGCTTTTAAAACCTCTCTCCATTTTTATCTGTTGGATGTGCAGAGATCAAACCTCTCCATAACTCTTACCACCAGTGACTCGTATCAGCTGCAGTGCCAGCTTGTCTCCGTCTCAGGACAGCTGAATACACCTGGATGGTTTGTCAGGCAGGGTGAAAATATGGGACTTGTGTTTTGTTTCCGGATCCATTGGCATCACTTTCCCAACACAATGCATCAGCACTTGCCCACTTATTCTGAAGCAGGAGCTGCATTTCTCAAGAAGCGCCAGCTTTTACCACCTTTCATTTATCACAGCCCTAGTGAGCAGTGATTAACATCTCATGTGAGCACCAAGCAACGTGCTCTGGAGGAAAACAGAAAGATGCTTCTGCCAGGAAGCAGTTCAAGATCATTTCTGGGTACCAGAATCTTGCATAACATTAAGAGAAAAGCCTAACACGCAGCAGCTTCTTGCTGTCCCCTATGTGTGATGATGAAATATGCAGCTGAGCAGAGCAAACCAACTGGAGCAACTAGTAATGGGCTCTTGTTTCCAGTGTTCCATCAGTGTTTCCAGGACCCTTCCAAGTGCAGTTGCTCTGAGGAGAAGAGGCACCCTCTACCGGAATTCCTCTTTCCCCTTCCCTTCACCTCGACCAGAGTATTTTAAGCTGTATGGACAGACTTGCCAACACTTTCACCTTCAATTCTTTGCAAGGGAATTTCTGACAACACACAGCACTGAATGAACCGTATAAACCCGAGCCGTCTCCCTCCCAGCTCGTTGCTCACGCAGCTCCGGAGCCCTCGCCAGGCAGCCAAGCACCGGGAACAGCGAGTCCCGTCGTGGGGACCAGGAAGTGCCTGTTCTTGGTACAGCCACAAGGGGGGCATCCGGGGCTGCCCGGCCCTGGAGCGGCTGCGGCCCCGCGGCGCTGGGCACACGCTGCATTCCCGGCTCCGGCCACGCTGCAGGGAGCGGGCGTCTGCCGGGCTCCTGGGCTCTGAGCGTGCTCAGCCGGAGAGCAGCCAGCTCCAGGGCTGCGCCAGAGGAGGTTTACATTGGATGTTAGGAACGATTGCGACGCCAAAAGGGTGCTCAGGCATTGGAAGAGGCTGCCCAGGGCAGTGCTGGAGTCACCGGCCCTGCAAGTGTTCACACACCGTGTAGACGAGGTCCTCAGTGACATGGGTTAGTGGTGACCTTGGCAGTGCTGGGGGATGACTGGACTTGATGATCTTAAAGGTCTCTTCCAACCTGCTTGATTCTTTGATTCTCAAAGCAGCTCCGCACCTCCTCCGAGTTGCAGCCCCCTTGTGTGTCATTGCTGGGACTGCTTTGCCCTTTGCTATACGTGTCTTATTCCTGGGCTCCTGAGCAAGAGGAGCTTTCTTTCCCTGCTTTTGAATCGCCCTAGAAAGCAGCGGGCTACTCCTCACCAGTGCAGTGCTGAGCGGCAGTGCTGGCTTTACCTGGCTCTGTGTCCAGCTCCTTCCCAGTCTTAGGATGCGGCTCTGTCCTGGGTTCAGCAGTAGCAGTCATGTTTTTCCTTTGTGTTAACTGGTGCAGTGCTGTGTTTTGACTTCTAGTTTGAGAACAGTGTTGGTGAAGCCGATGTTGTTGGTTGTTGCTAAGTGATGTTTACCTTGACCAAGGACTCTGTGAGGCTCATGCTCTGCCAGGGAGGAGGGGAAGCTGTGAGGAAGCAGAGACGGGGCGCCTGACCTGGGCTAGCCGGGGAGGTATTCCATACCACAGCACGTCATGCCCGGGGTGGGGGGTAACTGGGAGTTACCCGGAAGGACAGGGGCTTCCGCGTGGGACTCGCTTTCTTGGCCGGTGGTATCATATTCTCTTCCCTTGTTATTTTCCCTTATCATTGTTTTAGCTGATAGTAGCGGTGGTGATTTGTTGCTGGACTGTTCTTGTCTCAACCCGTAGGAGTTGCACTCTCTCGATCCTCCTCCCCGTTCCTCCGGGAGCGGGGAAGGGGAGAGCCCCGGTGCAGGGGGGGGGGGAAGACGGACACAGACCTCGATTGTTGTCAGCTCGGCACCACTCACTGGGAGTGAGTGAACAAGTTACCTGACTGGGTTTAAACCACGACAGTTCTTTTTGGCGCCCAACGTGGGGCACGAGGGGTTGAGATAAGAACAGATCTGACTGGATTGATAGTCACTCGTCACAATGCTGATTTATTGGCTCTCAAGGTTTTTCCTCTTGATCACACAGTTTCAGTATATCATATCTTACGTCCATCCGGTATTGGCTGTATTAGTGTTTTTCATGTGTGGGGCTTGGGCTAAGGTTTTTATCCCATTGTACTTTATGGTAATGACTTGTAATACAATAGAATCATTGATCATGAAACTGATCTGGCTTATGTTCCCAGTGTGGTCACCACCTTTATACTTTGGGAGGTATATGATGGAGGTGCTTAGCAATTACACATCTTTTTTCTCCTCCTCAGGTGCTCAACCTGTGAAGGAGACATCCTTTTACCCTCCTAGTCGTCCCCCCAGACCATTTACATTTGAGAGTTTTGAATTTTTTGAATGGCCTTTTAATGCTGTTGAGACTTGTTTGCTGATGGTGATGGGAATCACCATGCTAACACGCATACAGAGTGTGTTTTGCCCACTACTGATTTCAAGAGTTAAGCAGATTCAGGTTTGGGTCTTATCT